GAATATAGGACATGAGGACCTAAAGGTACCTCTGGAGTATAGGAGTTAAGGACCTAAAGGTACCTCTAGAATATAGGACTTGAGGACCTAAAGGTACCTCTGGAATATAGGAAGGTGTTTACTGTAATTAGTACTAGACTAATTAGCTCTAATTAGAGAAGTACTCACATAATTAGTAGTAACTAAGATGAGTGCTAAATAATTAATAAAGACTTGTTTAACAATTATATACATTATTGGTGTGCATCGATGACTTTCTGTGGTATATGGTAAAAATGGTAAAATATGGATTTTGGACTCAAGTTTGGATAGCGCCAACTTTGGTTCACTTCATATCACCAAATTTGCCTCGTTATTTAGCTACTTTATTCGCACTCGATGAAAATAGTGTTGAAATCGGTCAAAAAGCTACAGCATGTGTATTAGCTGCTGCTTGGTGTCGCCATGACCACAGATTAGCTAATAATCTTTTACGTCACCGACGTTTGTTCACTCTGACTGAAGTATTTAAAGCGATAACTATGTTAGATGCTGCTCGACGAATTCATGTTTATGAAAAACAACTAAAACGTCTTGAATTATGTCAAACAAAACCAAAAGTCACAAAATTAGGCAAAATTAAAAAATAATATCGATAACTTAAAGAAACTCAAAACATCAACTGGATCAGCAAGTGGTGCTGTGGCTCGACATATTCAACGTTGGACTCGAACATTAAATACACAAGAACTTGAATATTTTGCATTACATATGCCAACAGAACCAAGGAAAAAATTAGCTGATATTGTTCATTTTAATCCAACTAAAAATTTTCCTGCTTTACCTTGTTTTTTTACCATTTTGTTTTGGTACACCAACACCAGCTGATACAATGGTATCATGTTGTCGAGATTTAACGAATGAAAATATAAATACTTTAATTAAAGAATTTAAAATTCCTTATTCACATTTAAAACAATTTAAAGAACACTTAAATGATGAATCAAAAGTAAGAATAGCGTCTTATGAAGAAAAATTAGATACAATTTTATGGTATTCTGAAGATTTACAATGTTCAGATGTTGATGATATTATTAGTGAAAGATTACAAAATGGTGAACAGATAACTTTACCATATGGTAAACTTATGGAACGTCTTTTACTTCTTCGAACATTACTAGATAATGAAAATGAAACAACAACCTTCGAAAATTACGAACACGGTCCTGGACGAGGAGGATGCCGACAAATTACTAGAAATGTTCATGATCAACATTCAACACAACTAAGCAAACGTAAATTATATTCTGATTTGTTATTAATTGCTGAAGTTCAACTTGAAAAAATTAAATTACCATTAGAATCACCTGTAGCTGTCATGGGTGATGCATCAGATTCAATGGAAGTTGCTATTCGTACAGCAACTATTCTTGCATCATTATTAACAGCAGTTTGTTGAGCTAAATTGAATTTTTTCAATACTGAAATGTTCCTACCGACATTTACACCGAAGACTATTGAAGATGTTCTTACATTAGCATTGACCACAAGAGCTGATGGTGGTACAGCAAATGCTGCTGGTCTCGTATCATATTATAATAATAAAGAGGTGATTAAAACATTTGTTATGGTGACTGATGACGAAGAAAATACAGATGCTCAAATAGTTGATGGTACATCAACACGATTCTTTGAGTTATTTATGAAATATCGTGCAGAAATTTATCCAGCTAAACTAGTATTTATTTCATTTCTTCCTGATCAACATGCTCAAGGTCAGATGTCTTCAGAATTTCAAAATGCAAATATACCAGATGTAATTCAAGTAAGTCAAATGAATAGTTGCACATATTTTATATTTTGATTTACCTTTGTTTAGTTTATATTCAGTCGATATCGTCCAGATTTGACGAAAATTGATAATCTCTTAGGTTTATTATCGACTGGCTCGTCAGAATCATTTGATGATCAAGTAGGAAAATTACAAAATGAATTTCAACAGAAAGATATTGAATCAGTCATAACGAATTTACTTAATAAACAAAAGGAATATTCTCTTCCAATAGAAGCAGAAATGACTGTGACAACATCGAACTAATTCCATAGTGTATATTGATAGTTTTGTTGTTATTGTTTTTTTAAGTTTTTGAACTAAAATAAACTATACAGGATTGTTATTATGTGTTATTTTTTTTATTCCATAACAAGGATAAATGAAGAGTTCGGGACGAATTAAAGTATAAATTATTATATGAACTAATGTCCGTTTCAAAATATAATGCATCCCCCTGTTTTTTGAATAACTCAAGAACTCAATCAGCTAGAGATCTGCGGTTTTCACCAATCGAAAGAAGAGACAGAGGGACGTCTTTTTCTCCAATATTGTATAAGACAAAATCATTTTAGAATCAGTCATTTCTGCAAAACATTGCAAAAAATGCATGAAAACGACCCGGCATGCTGAAGAAATTTTCCTTTTGACATGTAATCTAGATAGAGGGACTTCGGATCTATACTTCAGGATATAATTCGAATGATTATCTTACCGCATTCTAACGTTTAGCAAATAAAATCGTCTATTTAATCGCCAGAAAACTACGAATTTCTTTTAATTTCGAAGCAAATTTTTTTACTTTTTGTCAAAATTTCATCTGAATGACAGACCATTTTTTTGATGTTATGCAGGAATGACTGGTTTCAAAATGATTTCGTCTGATACGATATTGGAGAAAAAGACGCCCCCTGTCTCTTCTTTCGATTGGTGAAAATCGCAGGTCTCTAGCTGATTGCGTTCTTGAGTTATTCAAAAAACAGTGGGACGCATTATATTTTGAAACGGACACTAGTTTAAAATTTGTTACTTTCAATGAAGCAAATAACTTTCAAATGAAAAAATAATATGCAACTGTGAGAAATAGTCACAAACCATCCGTACATTTAAAAACGATATTTAAATCTTAAATAAATATGAAGAAAATAGCTGAAGAAGAAATTAGCACAACTGTTTGCTCGCTGGTCAGCTGGTATTTAGTAAAAAAAAAGGGTCGGTGATGTTAAGTCAACTTTAACATCGTCTATGTCCATAGTTTACTGATCAAGTGTTACTGCCATTTTAGTGAATTTTGTGCGTAAGGCACGGTATTTACAGTTCTATGAAATAAAGGTACTTCTATAAGGTATCAATATTTTCAATAAAAACGAATGATTTCACCTCGACATATTAACTTTTACAAAAATGCTCTTCTTTAAGAGGCAGGTTACAATAATGGATCCCTTCTAGAAATTCAATATCTTGAGAATGTCGTATCTTGCGAATTTCAGTTTATATCAGCGCGCATTAAAGGGTTAGTTCATATCCCTACCAGTCAAATATTGTTTTACTTCTAAACAAAATCGATTTTTTTTTCTCATTATCTGACTTTATAATTGTATACATATTCTATAATTAGTTCCACCTGCTAGAATTCCATTTTCTTAACGATAAAATGTCGAACTAATATTTTATAACACCAACATATCAACAAAAGGAGATGATAATCATTGATCATACAGATTATTGTAATACATAGTCAAAGGAATAATATTCAAAGGAAATATTGATTTGCTTCAAAATATCTGTCCGTAGAATTCAAAAATAGTCAAACAATTTCCCAATCGAAAAGTTAAACTATAGTTTGTGAAAGTTAATAGTAGTATCAGTTAATATGGCTAGAATGTTTGAACCAAACACGTTCATATTAAAAGGCATCGGTTTGTATTCATTTGTTCCTTTGAGTTCTCCACCATTAGTGATATGAAAAAGATGTGACGCTGGCCAATCAACTAGAAGCCAATCGTCATGACTTAGTCGACAACAACGAACTACTCCGGTATTGTAACTAACATCAAGCTGAATTGCCCAGAATATATTGAAAGTCTTCGATGATCTTAATTCAATAAGTTTTGCCTCATTGGATTGATCATTGATTGCTAGAGCAAGTGTTCCGCGATTGTATACAATAGCATCTATTCGTTGCTTTTGTTCTAATTTATCTGTAGTTTTCCAAAGTTTCACAAATTGAATTGATGGCAATAGGCTGAACTCGAGCACGGATGAATCCCAATTGCATCGTGATAAATATAAAGATTCATCGGAACATTCACAAGAGTTCCAGTTAGCATCTGTGAGCTGTTGCACTTGTTTAATTGACATTGTATTTTCATCAAGCAACATTATATTTTGTTTAAGTATCACGAAGAAACGTTCTAATACTTCTGACCAACACATGTCCTCGATATCACCGTAATTCCATTTTTTCTGTTTCACTACTGACAAATTTTTATCGATCAAACATAAATTGGAATCAATACATGTCAATAGAAATCGATCATTGCCAACTAGTGAATTATAACTCGTACGTGTGCGATTAATTGTTCCATATACTGGAGGGAGATTTAACAAATCAAAGTGATTTAGTTTTGGTTTTTTAATTTGAATCAAATTATTATCTATCTCTAACGAATGCAGATCAATTTGAATATGAATCTGTTCAATCTCATTCATTTTTTGTTCTAAAGTATGAATAGCCAACGTAAGTGAGTTGATATCGTTTTTTGTCGTTTCCTGTCTATCGATCAGTTCGGTCATTGTTAAACGGAGGTCAGCAATTTCTCGTCGCTGTTCGTCTAATTTTTTGGTAACATATTGATCAAGTTCTTGACACTTTTGTTCGTAAAAAAGATCGATTGCTTCATGACAATCAATGCGCCATTGATTAACTTGTTGACGATGTTCATTGTTTATCTTGTCGATATTTATTGCTGTTAGTCGATCACTTAATGCATTGACTTTATCAGATAGAGGGTTCAATTGAGAATTAAGTAAATCATCATGTTCATTAAAATGGTCTCGACAAAGATTTTCATTACAACAATGACATAAAGTGCGAGAGGCACGTTTGCATGTTTTAATAGCACATGATTGTGACATTACTCAAAATAAGAAAGAATGCAAACTGCTCTGATGATTTTTAATTGATGCAATAATAAGAAAGTAACTGTGTCAATATTCTTTTTTTAACATGCACATGCTGTTTCTGTTATTGCAAAGAACGAAAAAATGATTCAATATGTCATAACGAGAACAACAAGAAAAATATTGTTTGGATTTGACTAGGAAATAAAGTGAACAAAGTCATTTTTGCTTTTTCAACTGTATATTTATACTGATTATCTTGAACTCAAATTATTGAAAAGGATAACTGGAACATAAATCTTTCAATGCTCTGTTTTATATTACTTCATTTAGGAAAGAAAACGATACTGTTAGGATGTCGTCGACAAGTAAAATATTTGAAAATCTAATAATCATGCGTTAAAAGTCATATAATAATGAACTGAATATAAACACGTGAACGAAAGGCATCATATCTATGATTTAACTTACTTGAAAGAGGCAATCAGTTCTAGCGAAGATATTTTTTCATATCTGTGTTAAATAAATTATTTACAAATGAAGGTTAATATTAAGTTAACAAGAAAAGAATAATACTTGGAAAAAGGTATGAATTCTCAAATGAGTTCAAGAATATCATTTTTAAAAACAGATCAATATCGCAATTAAAATAAAAATGATTCAAAATGGAATGATATATAATATATACATAAATTTAATTTGTATTGAATAATATTTTGATCAATCAATATCAGTTAACAAATATTTCTGTCAACATTAAAACGAAGATATCTATCGTGAAACGAAAGAATAAATTTCATTTGAAAAGCACGTGATGAAAGTTTCGACTATTTTAAAGATTTTTTCCTTTGTCTATGATCAAAATTGATATTTTCAAGATTTGTCCCTGATTACATGATCATACCTTCTCTTCAACTGAAAAAAAGTTTTTTCGCCAAAAGTAAAGACATTTTAAGAAAGTTCTTAGTAATAAGTTTTTTTCATGATTCGTTCAAAGATACTTATTTTTATGCATAAGATATTTCCTATGCATAGTACTAATTGTTGAGAGATCGATCTTTTCATTTTGAAGACTCTAACCGAATTAAAAATATCCCCTTTCTGTTTCCTGACCGACGATTTTCGTTTTTTTTCATTGTTGGTTTTTGCGGTCATAGTACAACTGGACGCAGTATCTGTCTACCGAGTACACTTTGAGATCCAAAAACTGTCTTTATGCGATAAAAAGTTCGAGAAAAAATTAAACTAAGAAAAACTATACATTGTTTCAAGTTTTTCTCAATTAACGTATTCATGAAACAAGTGCAGAAAGATTTTCGTTTCTCTGACCAAGTATGCCCGAATGTATTTGAAACTTTTTCACGTATACCATACGCGGTTTGGGATAGTTGGCTTCTTTTTTGTTTCAAAAAATATTATTCTCTTGAGTTTTGATAGCTCTTATACAAAAAGCTATTCAGAACAAAATGTATTTTTTATGGTAGCTTCGATATTGCGGCTTTTTTCTTTGAAGAGCAAAAAATAAACAGATATACATCCCAAACAGTGTCTAGTGTCTGTAGAAAAATTTTTAATTCGATTGAACATTGCCTCTTGAAGAAACAAGGACGAAAATTGGGGCCATTTTTCGTCAGTGTGACTTCAGTATTTTACAAAAGACAGCATTCGAGAACTTTGAGTGTACATGTACGATAGTCTGTACTCTACTACAAGAAAATCATATTTCAAATAAAACTGCAAGGATACAGCAATATATACTTCTTATGAAAAATATATTAAGTATAGAAGATCATAAACTCGAGTACATTGAAGTTTAAATAATAAGTATAAAAAAGCCTGTCTAAAGTGATCTTCTTTGTTATTTTGTTTCTTAGAAAAATTCATCTTTATCTTTGTAACAGTTAGTGAATACATGAATTTAACTATTTGACTAGATATAGGTATTTAAGAATGTTATAAGTATAGGAGTCAGATTCATGTGAGGGTGTAGGTATAGAGTAAATGCAAGTGTAGGTGCTGGAGTGTGCGTCTTTGAATGTGAAATGGGAGTACTTATAATGTGTATTTGTGATAGTGAGGAAGTTAACTCTCTCTTCAATTATAGACATACCCACATCCTTTTGGATAGTCTATCATCAGACATTGGCACATATGCATTCCAATTGCAGTAGAGTTAGTGAAGCCGATGCTTTAGACTGTTAATGTGACGTGTTATTTTGTTTTTGAGTAACAGATGAAACCATTGTCATTACTGACGTCTATTAAATGAAGTCATTAGTAAATGTGACCACTACGATTTTTCGCGTCTAACACACAACTGCAAAGTGTCTTTGTTCACTGTCTGAACTGTACTCGTAATTTTTCAATTTTATTCACCATTAAATATCTCTCATTGTTTGATATTCGTTTTTTTTGATTTTACATAGTCGAGAATGGATTCACTTGTACTGTTTTTGTTAGTATATCAAAAAGAGCTACCTGATGGACATGAAAAATTTAATTCATAGCATACACATACATTTTTTTTTTACATATTTGTTTTATTGTGCCTTTTATCTTGGTTCACAGGTTATAACAGGAAAAAAAAGGAACGAAAGAGAGCAAGACAAAAAAAAACGAAAAAGAGACTAGAGAAAGTACTTGGTATAATATCAGTATTTTAGTATTACATCTTCTGATGTTCACCTGAGTCAATATTCTATGATAATGGTAAAAAATGAAGTAGTAGTACAGACTGTATTTTACAAAATATCTGAATCGAGAGAGAAAAGTGAGAATGTAACATCATTTAATGAAAGAAAAAATGATAAGATAACAGAGTGTACATGCTGATACACAACTTATAAGAGAGAGGATAGAAAATGAGAGAGAAAGAAAAAGAATGAAAGGAAAAAAAAAGAAATGGTATAAAAATGGAAGAATAATAGACTGATCAATAATAATACATCGGATTCTCGATAAAGTATTTGTATATGAATAGGTAAATTTCTTTATTTGCTTTTGTATAATATTCATATTGCTTGACATCGACATTTTCGAACTCTAACCAATCTATCATGGTATGTTTAACTTGTAGACGTAATCGATTAAAAAAAAACTATTTTTTCTTATACCTAGTATTTTAAACCAGTTTTTATCTGGATTAGTTATATTTAAATCTGCATTCCAATTCATTTGGAATGCTAAAGCTTCATCAGCAGTAAGTAGATGAAGTACCAGTCGGCGCCAATATTTATATATATAATCATATAACGGTTTTTCTCTTGTAAGAACAAGTGTTGTTATATCATCCCGACCCTGTAGCTTATAAACAATTCTTAAACCGGTGTAATAAACGTGAGCTACCTTCTCTTTTTGTCTTTCCGTAAAGAAAAACCAGGTACTAAATAACCATATAAAATGCGGAAGGGCATATGCTAAATGAATTCTTCTACGGGTTTTTACATCATTTTTCTTAATGGTTTTACAGATTATTTTCATAGCATTATGTATTCTACTTATTGATTTGATTCTTTCATTTATATATTTCTCCCATCCCAATTTTACTGTTATATGTACCTCTAAGTATTTAAACTTTTTTACATATTCAATTAGTTGATTTTTATAAAAGATTTTTGGGTATAAGGGAGAAACTACATTGTGTACGAGCATCGCTTTCGTTTTCGATATATTCACCGGAAGAATTAAATCATCAGAAAATTTCTCAAGCTGTTTCATTACTATTTCTGCTCTATCTTCAAGTTCATCTATGTTCTTCGAAAATTTATTTTCGAGAGATCCAGTTAAAACGAGGGCCAGATCATCGGCGAAGAGGTGCATTAAACAGCTGGTAAAATACGAAGGGAGGAAATGTATATGGATACGAAACAGTGTTGCTGCAATTACAGAACCTTGTGGCGCTCCTCTTTTCATTTGTACTACTCGGGATTTTTCTTCACCATAATGTACACTAAATGTTCTATTTTTTAACCAGTTGAATATCCACTTAAGTAATGGCGTAGGCATATTCAGCTCATATAAATTCCTGATAAGTGCCGGGATCCACATTCGGTCGAATGCGGAGAGAAAGTCAATAAAAAGGGTCAAGGCAGGTCGATTATTAGCTGCTACTGTTAGTCTTAGGTCTTCAATCAGCGATATGATTCTGGTTTGTAAACGTCGTCCTTGTGAAAAACCAGATTGTTCATCAGTGTAAATGTTATTGTTTTTACACCACGTTAAAATCCTATTGTGTATTATTCTTTCAAAGCACTTCCCTAAATTTGGTAATAATGATATTGGGCGAAGTCGATCAGGTGTAGGATATATACCTTCTTTAGGTAAACATATTATCGTGGCGTGTTTAGCAGCGCTAAAGAATTCTCCTTTTTCTGAACATTTGTTAAATTAGACTGTTATCTAAATATATAATGTTCAGTGTGTGTGTGTCTGTGTGTTTCTCTGTGCCTGGTCAAAGGTCAAAGGTCAAATAAGACTCTAAGAGAGAGATCTCCAGGGCTATTTTATGGGGTACTTATAGATCCTCAAGGGCTATCCTATCGGGGTACCCATACGTCCCCAAGGGCTATTCTGTGAGGAAACCCATAGGTCCCCAAGGCCTATCCTATGGGGGTACCCATAGATCCTCCAGGGCTATCCTATGGAAGTACCCATAGGTCCTCCAGGGCCTATCCTATGGGGGTACCCATAGATCCTCCAGAGCTATCCTATGGGGGTACTGTTAGAGATGAATTTTCTCCTCTTTATTTTGTAATCACGAAATACACACACATCTAACCACTAACTACATACGACCAAAGAGATGAGAAGAAACGCGTGTATATATACCAATAAATAGATCGAGGGAAAGAAAAAGAAAACGAATACAAGAATAAAGGATGATATCACACAACAAAGGAAACAGATATATGTAATCATAACGACAAAGAGTGAAATCATATAACGACAGAAAAGAAGAAAAGAAAACAAAACCTGGGTAATGTGAGGGCTAGCCCGTAACAGGTACCCATAGGTCC